CCCCCCCCAAAAAAAAGCCCCAAATCTGAGTATCTAGTTATTAAGAAAATTGCTCCGTTTTTTAGTTCCCTTTTTAGAATCTTAATAGTCTTATTGGGTTTGAGGTTGACAAACACTTGCTAAATGTAAATTTTTTTTTGTTTTCATTGGTTGATGCTTCTTGGTCTTATCATTTATTATTGTTATATTGTACTCTATTCTTTGGATGTTTGTTCCGATGCTTGGACAGAATATTGAGGTGCATTTGTATTCTGGTGCAGGTTCAAGAATCTGAGATTATGAAAACTTTTATTTCTCATGAAGCTTCAATTAATTGCTTAAATTATACCTCATGATATTTCCTTGACAACTTTTATCTGCTTATGAAATATGAGTTCTTTAGATCAATTTAGAGTTTTGTAACATGGACACTCTTTTTTCTGAAAATTAGCTGTGTAAGACTGTTTTCTTGTTTCAGTTCCATGCTGACTTGTGTTCAATGTTACCAGATCTCTTAGGCTCTTAGATGTCAATTTGTCAGAGATCTTGTACCAATTGTTGATCACAAGGAAATGTGTTAGTGTCCATTTACATGAATTTACTGTCATATTTCGTCAGCTGCATGGCTGTCAAACCTGTTTGTGATAGAAACAAAACCACAATGATCACTTAACATTCCACAATGACCAAGTTGCAATGACAAACAATTAATTGATTGAATATTACCAGTTATTTTCAGATGATCTCTGTTGGGAATGTAGTTTTAGAAAATTAGAGATGAAGCTCTTAAGGCGTATATAAAGACACTGTCTTTAAATCTAAACAATCTCCTTTGCCACTTGTCAGATGACTTAAAAGTAAACTTATTTACATATTAAATGACCTCACAAATCAAGTTCCTGCTGGTCCTGTGTAACAGTTGAAACTTGAAAGAAAAGCAATTAACCATATTTTAGTTTCATTCTGAAAACAATACGTGCTTCTGCATTCTATTTGTATCTAAAACTGAACGTACTCTAACAGTCTCTTCTGCCTTTTGGTTTAGTGTTTGCGATGAAACAATGAAGTTCCAGTTGGAATCTGCCCTTGCTTGTATCATTTGCTTACTCTGTTTTCAGTACATATTATGTGGTTAGTATCAATTTTCTATGCTATACCTTTTTTGAGTTTTTTCCCCTAACCACTGATCATATATGGTTGCCCTTGCTTATACAGTCTAGTTTCAGCACATTTTGTGTAGTTAGAACCAATTCTTATACTACTTCTTCTGTTTCTTTTGCTTTATCCATTGATCATATAGCTGAGGGCAAACTAGAGTTACTTGCCTGGTCTAAATTTTTGATAGCCTTCAAATGGCTTAATATTGATGTGGTCCATGACCCTCAACTCAAAGTTCCCAGGTTGTGGATTCATTGGGATAAAAACAATAGGATGTAATGATTCTAAACATCTTCTGGTACTATGGTAATGATCTAGAAGGAAATAGATAGCTTTGATGATTAGGTTCTCTAACCAGAGGTGAATTATCTGCAGCAAAGATCTCCTAGGTCAGTGCTACTGAATGATAATGGGTTGTTAAGTTGTCCTTATGTTCTGTTGTGAATTGCCCTATATCTCACCTACGATAAGTATTATCCCCATGTAAACAAACTCTGCATGTTTTTTTTTTCTCTTGTTTCAGTAGTAGAGTTTAGCACTATATGTTTGCCTCGAATTATGTGCATATACCATTTCAAGCCACTCTGATAATCACATTCAATTTAACTGATCACTGACAGATGATCTTTCTCAAGAGTCTGGAATGAACAAGTGGACCTGTTTGTGTGCTTCTGCTCAACAAGGCAATCAGAGTTATGTATTTGCATCCAACTGTTCCACATCCTGTGATTGCATTCCTGGTATGCTGCCTAAATTGTTAAGGGATAACTTGGATTATCATCTACAAAAATATTGCCTTTCTTGGGGTCAGAAAAGAAATTAATCTCAATATGAATCCTGTATTAGTTTGTTAGAAATGGAACTCTTTTATTGGAAATGAGCATGAAAATAGTTATTTACTTTGATAAATCCACAAAATTCAGTTGGTTTTTTCCAGAAAAGGTTGCACTTATTAGCTAAACAATGCTTTTGAAAAGCTTTACAATGCTTATTCTTTTTTTTCCTTCACCTTTGTGTGTGTCTTAACCCTGAAATTTCAAAACTATAATAGATCCATATATGGAATCTGTTACAGCTATATTTTTTGTGAGAGACCTACAAATGTAAGTCTCTTAATGGTATTCATTCAAAACAAATTTGTGCGATTCAGGGATATGACCCTCTCTCTCTCTCTCTCTCCAAAAAATGTGTAGTATTTTGCAAACTGAATTAACTTTAATATGTTCATTCTTTTCCTAAGTTGCATTTATGAGGAAATATCATCTACTACAATATTTTAAAAATTATATTGCATTATTTTTTATGGCAGAAAAATCTGTTGGAGGATCAAGTGAAGAAAGATGGACCTGTATTTGTGCTGCTGAGGGATTTTCCGCAGCAGCAGCTGGTATTCATGATTCTACTTGTTTCACAGCCTGCAACTGCACATCTGGTAATGTGCCTTTTCAATGTGAAATGCTGATTTTGAATAGTCCTCGTTTACCCATACTTCTATAGTTGTAATGTAAATAAATCATATGCTGAACTTGTAGTCATTCATAATTGCTCCAATGAGATCCTGATGTGGTGGCTGTCTTATCTAAAGCTGAAAATTCAGCTCTACTGTAAATATCAAGGTTAACACTTTAAATTGGTTCCAGAAATCATGTAGATACTAGTTCCAAGCTGGTCTTGCATTGACTTTATCCCTCCAAGAATGGCCCATCAATTGAGAATTCCTACTAGAAGAAAGTGTAGCTGTGACTCTGTATAAAGCTTTACAGTGGCTGAGGACTCATTGAGCATGTTGAACCATGGATTCTCCGTATTTCTTTCTGTTTATTTATGCCAAATTCAGTATAATGCAATTAATTGGTAGGAATTTTTGTTTTCTTTTTCTCCTTTTGAGTGGGGAAGTGAGTGAGTAGTTGATTGGTGGAGATAGAATACAGGATTTTATCCTAGTTCTGGCATATGAATTTCCCCAGGCTTTTCCAGCTGATTAAGCCAAATTTTCAGAATGATCTATGTACCACAAGTGACAAGGTCGTGACACACACAGAGACACACATAAACAGACTCAAATAAAAACATGGAAGGTTAATGATTCATAGCTTCTGCTTCATAAATCATAACATGCTTAGAGTGGTTTGTCTTAATGCTTGCCATGCAGGTTTTCCAGTAGACGCGAAAGCATCAAGGAAGCATATGTCCAGCAAATTCATTATGTACATTCTCTTGTTTTGTGTGGTGCCTATGACTGTTGCATTTCTTGCTTTGCTGGGATGCTATATGTATTGCAGGGACAAATGTCCTGTTCAACCTCCAATATTTTTATCAGATAGAGACACAAGCTGTAACAGCGCTACCAACCTAATAAGCCATATGTCTTCTTCAATACCAGAATCCAAAGTTCAAATAAATTCTCCTTTGCACCCCATAACAGGTAAAATCAGAGCGTTTTCATTTATCTGCCTTATTCTTTTTTAAGAATTTGAGCTGATGATGGGCATGAGATTTTACTTTTCAAAGGATATTCTTGTTCAGAAAGAAACAGCTTGAAGATTTTATTCTATCTTAAAAATATTACAAAATACTTATTCTACTTTCTTAACATATCCCACATCCCCTGGGTGCTGTTTGAGGTCCAATATTTGCTTTGGTAACAAAAGTCTCAAAACCACTTATTAAACTTTCCTTTTTATTTTGATGCAGAGTGTATGCTAGGAGCTTCTTTCATGTTTAAAAGAAAAATAGGAACAGTAACTGGGACAATTACCCATTTTACTTATTCTGAGTTGGAGCTTGCAACCAATAAATTCTCCAATTCCAATCTGATAGGGCTTGGAGGAAGCAGCTGTGTTTATCGGGGTCAACTCAAAGATGGCAAGATTGTTGCTGTTAAGCGACTAAAGACTCAGGGTGGGCCTGATGCAATTGTTGAGTTTTCCACTGAGGTATCTCTCCCCCTAGATGCTGCTGCTTTTTATTTGTTGCTAAAGGTCTCTAGCTGTCTGCAGACCTCAGGAAAGCATTAACAAAATATTGTAATCTAGGCTGCAGCCTTGAAGACTGACAAATTTTTGTTTCTGCAGATTGAACTGATTTCAAGATTCAACCACTGTCACGTGGTACCTTTGCTTGGCTACTGCTTGGAGTCACACGGGAAACAGGCTGAGAGGCTACTTGTCTTTGAATACATGTCCAATGGCAACCTTAGAGATTGTTTAGATGGGGCTCCAGGGAAAGAACCCATGGACTGGGGAACTCGTGTTAATATTGCTCTTGGGGCTGCAAGGGGCTTGGAGTATCTGCATGAAGCTGCTGCTCCAAGGATATTGCATCGAGATATCAAATCAACCAACATTCTTCTAGATGATAAGTGGAGACCTAAAGTAAGAATCTTGAATTTGTTGAAACCCCAATCCATTACTTAATACTAGATCCAGCTATTTGGCATTTTTAGCATGAAGTGGCAACTCTAACTTGAACCTTTTTTTTTGTGGGTGGGGGGCACTTGAACCCATAGTCTTTTAACCCCCCCACCAACAAAAAATATGTCTGACTATGATACTGGAAAGGCTTGATACCTAAAAAATTTATAACCAATCAATTGGTATCATAAAAGTGGTAACCAATCAGCTGATATTCATCAAAATTCATGGTGGGGGTTCTGATTTGTTAAAGTTTTTCTAGTATCATACTTTTCCAGCATCATTGATATTTCCTAAGGCGTAGTTTGGAAAGAGTATAAATACAAATATGTACAGTACAAATACATATAAAATAATACAAAATACAAGGTTTTTCACCCTACGTATTTGTATTTGTACCCCTTCCAAACTGAGCCTAAAGAAAAAAGGATAAAAATACAAGTTGACTGATAATTCCATTATGTCAATTTGGTTGGCCAGGGTTTGACTATAGCACAAACTTCAATTTCATTTAAATATACCAAAGGAAAAAAAATTGTTGTTTCTGCAATATTTGCAATTGCTTAATGCTAGCCCACAAGGCTATCACCTACATGAGAACAGCCTTCCATGCAAGTTGTATCACGTACGGTACATTTCTTGTGCTTGGTGATGAAGGAATCTGTAATCCCACAAGGCTATCATTGCTCTTCGTGAAGTCAAAGTTTTGAAAAATGTAGCTTTCCTGATGGCATATGAACTTAGAAACCCTTCTTTCTTATTGGTTCACTTATGCACACAGATAAGTGATCTTGGTATGGCCAAACGCTTGAGGACTGATGACCTTCCTAGCTGTTCGAATTCTCCAGCAAGAATGCAGGGGACTTTTGGATATTTTGCTCCAGAGTATGCCATTGTTGGAAGGGCCTCTCTAAAGTCAGATGTTTTCAGTTTTGGAGTTGTTCTTCTGGAGTTAATCAGTGGTCGGAAACCAATCCAAAAATCAGCCAACAAAGGAGAAGAAAGCCTTGTCATATGGGTAAATTACAATGCTGTCATTTTCTTTGGTGGTAAAAGATTATTTTTAGTTGATCTCTTTTGTTTTTGTTGGATTCACATATTCCTATTTCTTGTGGAAGCTCCTATTTCCTTCTCTCTTGCATTTGGTTGAAAAAACATTTTGGTAAATCCATGAAAAGAATTAGAGTGCTCCTCTTCTAGAAACTTTGTGCTTTCTCTTTCTGTAGGGCGCAACTTGTTTGAATTGGCCAAGCTAAGGTTCCCCATCAATTAGACACATCTTAGCTTGGCAATATCTTTTATTTCAACCCACTGTTGACCTGTGTGGTCAGACTGGTCAAACATGCCATTTTATAAAAAAAACTGTTGACCCATTTAACCTGTTTAGTGCTATTTTATATTTTAAGTTTTTAACTTTATTATAGTATCATGAGTTGACCAATTTGGTTGAACAGCTAATCCATGGCCTGGTTGAAACCATCATGGTTGAACGGCTAGGCTTTAAAACATTGTTCCAACCTCATGCTTTCTAATTGAGTGTGACTGATTTAACTATCATGGTTGACCTAATGATTTCTATGCCAATGTGAAGCCATGAAGTGAATTGTTTATTAGATGGGCTGGTAAGAAAATATTTGATTTTGTAGCTGCATCTAGAATTGGCGGAAGGGGAGCTTTTTAGATGCCCTCTATGGATGTGTAGTTACTTTGATATATTAGGATCTTCTTTGTCCATGTAATCAGGAGAAAATTGAGAACATACTGATTTGAATTACAATGTTTTTTGCTCCTATTGTAGGCTACCCCTCGTTTACAGGATAGCAAAAGGGTGATTTTGGAATTGCCTGACCCACTTTTGAATGGGAATTTCCCAGAAGAGGAGATGCAGATAATGGCTTACTTGGCGAAGGAGTGCCTGCTTTTGGATCCTGACTCTAGACCAACCATGAGTGAGGTTGTTCAAATCCTTTCCACTATTACACCAGAGAAATCCAGGCGAAATTTCTCTTTAAGCCTTTTCCAGGTAATCATGCATTTCATCATTCCCTTTACAAGTGCTTTTAGCACAGATTCTGTGATGGCTCTTTGCTTCTTTTCAGATAAACTATTATTCCAAATCAAACATGTCAAAGTATTGTTTAAGATCATAATACAGATTCTGTCTTATGTCTAGGTAAAAAAGAAAGACCATTTTCCCAATGTTGGTCCTGGATATCTGGGGTCTTGGGAGGGGATAGAGACCTAACCTTTGGAAAGTGGCCATTGTCAACTCGAACCCATGCCTTGCGCACTTGTGAACCCAAGATTTTACCATCATTTCAAGAAATGGTCCCAACAATCATATTTTAGTGATTTCAATATATTTGGGTTTAACTTTTATTGTACTAGTGCAAGGGCACATTCTATACACATGCACAAGTAAATGGTGAACATATAAGTTGACATTATATAATCAAATTTAACTTTTATCACTTGCATCAAAACCAAGGTAAGTATCCACTTTATAATAGTATAGATTATGATCTGCTCCTTTCAAATATTCAGCATTGCCCAAAACGAGGATGCTTCTTTAATGTTTTATTTGGAAAATAATAGTTTGATTGAACACTATGGGAATCCAGACAAAACCATGTTGAGTGTTGATTCTCTCCTCTGCTTATTTTGCAATAAAATAGTGATTTTTTGTGTGTTTAATTCAACTCTCAATTTTTTTTTGGTAAAATGAAAAAGGAACTCCCTAATTTTGCCTCAAAATCATTGCCCCATTTCCATTAAGTTTGTGTGTACCATTTACTATTCTTTCATCTTCTGAGCTATTTGATTAATTTACCTTTAGAATGGATCATGCAGAGCTTATCAACTCATAGCATGAAAAGTGTGGTAGACAAGGAGAGGTATGAAGATGAGCCAGATTGTTCCCTTGATGCAGAGAACTTGAGAAGAGGCTCTGCTTGGTCTTCGTTGCCACTACATGTGCATCGTAATTTATGTGTTGAAGACAATAAGAAAGAGGCAGGCACAGTAATATCGGCTGAGTGTATAGAAAAATTGAACCCCGGTTTGAATTGCCGTTCTCCAGAGGATGAGATAGTGGACTTAACTGAACCCCGGTTTGAATCATTCCACATGGCAAACATTCAAAACCTATGATTTTATTAGAAAATTTGGGCAAGAATACCCAGAACCATGGCTAGTGCTAAATGCTCATTTCTTGGGGTTAAACGTGCTTGCTGATTGAACTTGCTCTTGGAAAAAGAAAACAAGAAGGCAAATCCATCTGAGGAAGGATTGGTTCTCAGTTCTCACAGTCAAGGATTGGTTCTCAGCTTTCCTGCAAGTCGGGACTCCAGATAAGCAATACTAGAATGTCAAAAAAATTTGAAAAGCTGATCATGAAATATAAATGCTACATTATTGTTTCATTTATTATTACAGATGAGAAAGAAATTGTTTTACTGCAAAAAAAATAAAATAAAAAAATACATACAAAGCAATCCTAGTTTTTGCTTGACTTGCCTTCATTTGGACGGGGAGTTCTTTTGCACTCATAGTTATTTATATCAACCTCCTCTTGCAAATTTGAGTGAGATATATAGGTGTAGTTGAATTTCACCTTGAGTTCTTCCTCCAATGAGATCTTTCTGGGTTTATACCCTTCTACTGGTCCCATTCTTGATAGTGCTTTCCTAGTCTCAATGATCTCCCATTCATGGTCGTCTTTCACCGAGCTTCAGAAGAAAAAGAAGATCCACAGGATGACTTCAAAAGACAGAAACAGAACACGTTTGTATTTATTGAAATTTGCAAATTCAATTGAAGCAAATCGCTTGGACTCCAAGACAATAATCTGCAACATCCCATAAAACATGCATGAAAGCTCTGAAATTGTTAAGCAGGTCCATATGATAGGACATTCCTTTTCCCCATTAGCAGCCGTAGAAGAGAAGGGAGGAATAAGGTTAAGGTCTAGCCTGATCATATATTAATACTTCATCTGCACAGTTCCACCAATTCCTAACTTCAAATGTGTCAAAACCAATCTATATTGAATTCAAGCATTTGGGTTTTCTTCCAATGGATGATTCAATTTCGCATTTTAGGATTAGAGTTTTTCAGACGTTGTCGATGATGAGATTAAGTGTTGAAAATCAGATTGACCTTCCTTGCAAGAGGTGGGCAAGCCCAGCTGCGCCAAAAAACCGTCAATGTAAAACATAGGATAGGAAGCCCATATCTGAGATATGGGTTTTTCCTACCCCATCTTTTGAACTCCAAAGCCGAACGACGAATCTCATCACATCAGTAGTCCCTTTTTATTTTCATTTTCTTTCAAGGATCAATTGTTGTCTCAGTATGTTAGAATATTTAGTGTAGTACAGCTGCATAACCACGTGTCATCTACCACTCGCGTCAATTAGTTACAAGTAAGGCTGCAACTTGGGTCGGGTTGGCCCGAATCCAACCCGAAAAGTTGGGTTGGGTTGGTTTGGGTTGATGTTCGGGTTAGGGATAGGGTTGAAATTCATGAATCCGACTTTACTTCGGGTTGGGTGAGGGTTGACCCCTTAGTCAACCTGACCCAACCCGAACCTGAGTCAATAGTACGTGTCATATATAAATATATGTTATATTAATATATAACATACATTGATTTGTTTAGATGCATGATATTTGTATGGACCCCACCACATAGTATCATGTATTTCTTTTAAGATAATCACTTCACTTAATCCTAATCAGAAAGACTAAAACCTTAATAACATTAATTATTTTATATTTTTTGAAAATTTTATTCTTCATGTCATATATGTTGTTTGCTGCCCAAGAAAGATCTATCGTAAGTCATAACTCATAATAAACTATAGTCATTTCTAACACTTGTTTTTTCTGAATTATGTAATAAAAGAACAAAAAAATAACGTCAACAAACAAATACTAATGAAACAGAGGATTAATATATGTAGTGAAAGTTGAGTTAAGATCTAAAATTGAGAAATTCTATGAGGTTTTAAAGGATGGGAAGAAGGTTGGGTTGGGTTGGGTTAGGGTTGAAGGAATTTAGTTAGGGTTAGGGTTAGGGTTGGGTTGGTCGGGTTGAAGGTCGGGCTGGGTTAGGGTTAGGGTTGGGCTAGGGTTAGCCTCAACCCGACCTAACCCGGCCCTACTTGCAGCCCTAGTTACAAGTCCGTTACACACTGACACGAAATGTATTTATAACTCATTCGTTCACTCATTTTAATTCAAGAAATCCTGCGATGAGGTTTTACCCTTTTGTGATGAACTTCCAAATATTTGTGATAAGTCTTTGCACTCTACCCTCTCTGTCTTAATTTTTACATGGTATCAGAGCCTGTAATTCCTTCCATTGTTGCCTTTCACTGCTGAGGTGATCTATGATTCCTTTTTTTTTTCATTGGTCGCTCATCACTGAGCTCCTCCCTCTTGTTGTTGCACCCGCCGTTGTTTCCAACCGTGACAACCATGAAATCTGATCCAACTTCTCCTTACTACCTACACTCATCCGATAACCCAGGGAGCATTCTTGTATCCTTTTCTTTGACTGGAGACAATTATTCGACATGGCAACGAGCCATGCGGAATGCACTGAGAACAAAGAATAAATACCGGTTTGTGGACAGATCTTTATCACGGCCATCAAGATCATCACTATAAGAGAAAGCTTAGGTTAAAGGTAACCCAATGGTGGTTTCTTGCCTGTTCAACTCTCTGGCCAAAGAACTCCACGAAAGTGTAGCCTTCATTGACTTGGCTTCTATGATCTGGAAAGAGTTAGAAGAAAGATTTGCGCAGAGCAATGTCCCATGGATGTGGGATGAACACAGAAGTCTCACTGATCTCCCTTAGTGCACCTGCGGAGCCTTGAAGCATTTCATTGCTGATTGTGAGAAAGAAAAACTCCACCAATTCTTGATGGGTTTAAATGAATCTTTCAACGTCATTCGATTGAACATTCTGGGATCGGATCCACTACCGAGTTTGAACAAGGCGTATTCTCTTGTAATCCAAGAAGAGCGCCATCAGCTACCAATCTCTCTTTGAGGGCCACCCAACCCTGAAGTTGCTGCATTGATTAAATACTGTATTAAGATCCATGCCTCGAGACTTTGAGAATCGCAATCATTCAAAGTATGTTTGCGATCACTACAAAAAAATTGGACACACAAGGGAGCGATGTTTCAAGCTTGTAGGTTACCCTACCAGATGGGAGAAAGGTAGACCAAATTGCTCTATAAATCCCAAAAAGATTCCATAACAGAATTCATGTGCTAATGCAGACACCAATGATAATGAATCACCTATCATTGGTCTGGCCATCCAGCAATATAACCAGTTGATAGGTATTTTGAGTAGAGAGAACCATGAATCAGCTACACATGTGAATCTTTATGGTAAGCACTCCACTATTTCCGTTGGATGGATTCTAGATAGTGGTGCCTCTGACCATATGGTTTCCACTACACCATTGTTATCTAGTTGCACTCAACTGCATTCTTCCAAACCAATTCATCTTCCGAATGGGACTATTACAACTGCATCCCATTACAGAACTGTGTATCTTGGACATAACTTGATCATCAATCATTCTAGAAATTCTGACCCTTCCTCAAAACAACTGTTGCAATGCATGCCACAGGGCCAAACAGTCCAGGATACCATTTCCTATTTAGCAGTCTCGAGCTACTCAACCCTCTGACTTGATACATTATGATTTGTGGGGAGGGTACAAGACTCCATTATATACAGGCGCACATTACTTTCTTACCATTGCTGGTGATCATATGAGATGTACTTGGACTTATCTTGTGAAATTTAAATCTGAAGCTATTCGTCATCTTATATCCTTTTGTGCTATGGTTAAAAGGCAATATGGTCATTTCGTTCGACAAATTCGATCAGATAATGACAAGGATTCTTTTATGTTCCTCTACTCAATTACTTTATTGAACAAGGCATAACTCAACAACATTCTTGCATAGAAAGCCCTCAGCAAAATGCTGTTGCAGAGCACAAGCACCGTCACCTGCTGGAAGTCGCTCATGCACTATGCTTCCAGGCTTCACTACCTGTCACATTCTAGGGCGAATGTCTCCTCACGGCCACATACATCATTAACCGGTTACCAACACCGTTCCTTTCTGGAAAATCTCTGTCAGAAGTACTACTGCAACAAACCCCAAGTTACAACCATATGCGAGTGTTTAGTTCTCTGTTATGCACAAGTACAACCTAAAACCTCAGGATAAATTTTCTAGCATGGAAACACGTTGTGTGTTTGTTGGGTACCCCTTTGGTCAAAAAGGGTATCGTGTGTTTGATATAGCCACCGGACACATTTTTACCTCACGGGATTTCATATTTTATGAAGATCAATTTCCATTTTAGACTTCACACTCAACATCAACTACTCTTGTCATCTAATTGCTTGTATCCAACCATGAAACACCACCACCAATCACAAGTTCACTTGTTGGAAGCCCAGAAACAGAGGGCTTAGAACCATCCGGACATTTTCCTTCTGATGATATACTAGCTAATACAAGCTCATCTGAAACTGAAACTTCTATTGAAGAAAATCACCAAGTTTCAACCCGACCTGATTCACGATCGCGTAGTCCTTGGCAAGTCTCTACTCACTTGCGCTCATATGACTACCAACTTCCACCTTCTCTTGCTAATGCGGTTACCAGCCTAGGTGCTTGTCTAGCTATGATTTTCCTCACAAATAGAACCATCTTCCTTTGCTGAGGTGGTTAATGATCCCAAGTGGCAACAAGCAATGGCAATCAAAATTGAAGCACTTGAGTGGAATAACACATGGACACTTGTAGGCTTGTCACCCGAAAAGAAGGCCATAGGTTCAAAATGGGTCTATAAGATCAAGTTGAGAGCCGATGATAGTATTGAGAGATATAAGGCCCGTTTGGTGGCAAAAGGTTACAATCAAGTCGAAGCCTTGACTACCATGATACCTTTGCACCTGTAGTAAAGATTGTTACTATTCGTTGCTTATTCACAGTGGTTGTTGCCAAGTGTTGGGAACTTCATCAACTTGATGTAAAGAATGCATTTTTCCATGGTGAGCTCCAAGAAGAGGTTTACATGCACATCCCTCTTGGATTTTCCAAAGGTGGCGATCAATGCGTTTGTAAACTCCAAAAATCCTTATACAGTCTCAAATAAGCTTCACGGATGTGGTTCAAAAAATTCACTTATGCACTCTTGCATGCCGGTTTTACCCAATCAGTGGCAGACTACTCACTTTTTACAAGCAAACAAGACAACTCCTTTGTTGCAGTCCTTGTGTATGTAGATGACCTCATAATCACAGGAAATAATCCAAGCTGTATTGCCTCCCTTAAATCTTACCTCAATGAGTGCTTCAGCATCAAGGATCTCGGACCCTTGACATATTTCTTGGGCGTTGAGGTGGCTCGTTCAAACTCAGGCATCTTCTTAAGTAAGCACAAACAGATTTTTGACATTTTGAACGAAACCGGGATGCATGAATGCAAACTATGTTCAACTCCTATGGAACAACAACGACACTTCAATAATGATGCCAGTCCAGCTCTTTCAGATCCGACCCAATATAGGCGTTTGGTGGGATGCCGCCTGTACATTACGGCCACAAGACCTGATCTTAGTTTCGCAATAAATCAAGTCAGTCAATTCATGCAAGATCCACGAGAAGAGCACCTTCAGGCTGCTTTACGGGTGGTCAGATATCTCAAGTCCACTCCTTATCATGGCATCTTTATCCCATCCACTAATGACTTTGTGGTCTATGCTTTCTGTGACTCCGACTAGGCTAGTTGTCCACTTATCTGCCGCTCCACAATAGGTTATATCATAATGCTTGGGTAGTCTCCAATCTCTTGGAAGACCAAGAAGCAGCACATTGTGTCACAATCCTCTGCAGAAGCCGAATATCGAGCTATGACAATCACAACCTCAGAACTCATTTGGCTTAAACGGGTCTTTACAGATTTAACAATTCACATTGCAACACCCATGGAATTGTATTGTGATAGTTAAACTGCTCTCCGTATCACTACCAATCTAGTTTTCCATGAACACACAAAGCACATTGACATTGACTGTCATTTTGTTTGAGAGAAAATTCAGAATAATGAGATTAAAACATTTCACATTAGTAGCAACAACCAGCCAACAGATCACCTAACCAAAGCTCTTGGGGTGTCATCATTTCAAAACCTCACTCTCAAGTTGGGCATTACATCTTCTCATGCTCCAACTTGAGTGGAGGGTGTTAAAATATTTAGTGTAGGACAGCTGGCTAACCACGTGTCATCTACCACTTGCATCAATTAGTTACATGTCGGTTACACATTGACGCGAAATGTATTTATAACTTATTTGTTTACTCATTTTAATTTAAGAAATCCTACGATGAGGCTTTACCCTTTTGCAATGAACTTCCAAATATTTGCGATAAGTATTTGCACTCTACCTTCTCTGTCTTAGTTTTTACACAGTATCTATGGCAATGGGTGTTGCTCCAAGTTGCAGGTTCTCCTCTACCTCTAGGTCACCAGGCACCAAGACAGGAGAAGCCAAATAGACGGATATACCCTTGTATTGCCCTATGAATCATGGGTCTTTGTTTGTTCTTTTATCCCTCGCTCCTTTAAGGCTGCGTTTTGGGTCCCAGCAAATATTTTGGCATACCAAGTTTTACTGGGAAATGCCTTCTTTTGTTTCCGGTATAAAGGGAGAAAATAAAATTAGGCCATGTTTGGTTCATGGGAATAGGGGTTTGGAATCGGAATCGGAATAGGCTATTTCGATTCCAATCATTTGGTTGGGTGGAATTAGAATATCATTCCATTTCTGCTGGAATGGTCATTCACTGGCATTGCCCCTCCCTTGGAAATGAAATCCCATTCTTGTTGATTCTAATTCTCATTCCCATTCCCGTCTGACCCAAACAAATTATTGAGAATAGACCATTTCGATTCCAAATCCAATTTCAATTGTGAACCAAACAGACCCTTAAATTAACTTCATAATATATATATATATGATATTTTTAATAAATAAAATTGCATACATTTGATTTCTTCCATTAATGTTTGCTTCAATTTTGAATTCAGTCCTCACAAAACTGTTCCCACGCCATCAACCATGTATTGAAATCATCACCAATATATCCCACAAAAGTGGGCTGTTCCAGGCCAGCATAGCCCACTTTTGTTATTCCTTACACATGCCCAGCATGGGCATGGGCCATGGGCCAGTATGATTATTTTATGAAGAAAAAATACATAATTTACATTTTTTCATTAAAAGAAATGAAAATGGTGCCCTAGCCCAGAATTAGCCCAGGCTTGTGTTGTGCCGGGCTCCCCACCCCTCCCTGCAAGCGTGGGCCGTGTCGACCCGGCTCGCTACGGTGCGGGCGACCCCGAATATCCATAAGGCTACTGGCTGGGCTAAGCGTAAATTTTACAAATATTGGGGTCATCTTTCAGAAATGAATTTTATCCGTTCCAGTTGCAGCATAAATATCTTCTCCAAGACTCCGACCTTTTCTCGACCGTTTTTTCGTTATCTATTTCTTTGTAATTTTACCATGCGTGAGGGGGCATTTTCGAACAATTGTACGATGGAGAGCGGAGGAGCGATGCTCTCCGCTGATGAATTCTAGATCATCAAGTTGTGTCCCGGTGGTCCAACAATCAGACGGTTGCAGTTCAATGGTTGGTCCTGCACATTGTCTTCGTTTGGTAATTCTGTTGAAAAATAGGGGCATTTCATTGTCAAACCTATCCGTTTTTCTATAAATAAATATCTGTGCCATTCCAATCTTTCTCAAACTCTCTCTTGCTCCTTTGAACCTTATCAGGAGCGCCATTGTGTTAGCCATGGCCTCTTCTTCTTTGGTCCTCCCATCTCTCTCCCTCAAAACTCTGGTTTTATCTAAAGAGAAAAGCCCTTCCATCTGTCTCTTTTCTTCCTCTCTGTCTTTGACAAAGGCCCAGAACACATTCATTTCAATTTCCTCTTCGTTTTCCTTCGACAGAAGGTACCGCAGTCTATCATCTCGTTTTCTCCGAAATGTAGCGGTTTCGTCGGACTTGGAGCAAGAGGAGGAGGTTTTGAGTGATGAAGGTGAAGTTAATTTTTCTCCTGACCTGAAACTATTCGTTGGTAACCTCCCCTTCAGCGTCGATAGCGCTAAACTAGCTGCTTTGTTCGAACAAGCTGGAAATGTTGAGATGGTTGAGGTAGGCTCTGCTTTTAGTTTTAGTTCTACTTTTTTGTTTGGGAAATTATCGAACTTTCTTGTTTTGGCCTGCGATTTATGGTATAAGTGCTATTGGATTCTTTCAGAATTTTCTTTTATATATTTAATTCTTTTATTTCCATTTCTATGTATATTACTTCTTTATTTGAATGGTTCTTACCTGCCCATATGCATAGGAATGAGTCACAATCTTCCGCATGAAGCATTACGGGCCTGTGAACATGCTTATTTTGTTCCATGTTGCACTGATATAAATAAGAAATGAATTCAATGGTTTCTCTTGACAGGTAATTTATGACAAAATAACTGGAAGAAGCCGAGGTTTTGGATTTGTGACCATGTCCACGGTTGAGGAAGTGGAATCAGCTGTTCAGCAGTTCAATGGTTATGTAAGCTTGCTTATTCTTTATTCTTCATTTGATGACCTAGCGGTATAAGATGTTTCCTTTTGGTGATTGAGAAGGCCTATGCTTTTCAGACATGATTAATAAAGACATATACCTTTGCATATTTATTTGCAACAGGTGCCCCACTATTTGCTCCAGTTATCTTTACATTTAGAAAGAGAAATATCAGGTCAAAGAGCACCCCTTTATCTTAGAAACAAATATATGGCTCACAGCCCTACACTGTGACCGTGTAACCACTCATCATCTCACTTGTACATTTTGCTCCAATTTCATTTAATTGAAAAAACATGACAAATCTGTCATGCTTTTAACAAACAAAAGATCAAAGGTAAGTTTGTTCTTTGTGAGGAGTTTATATATGAATTTTTGAACTAAGAACTTGTCCTAGTATTACATTTATATAATCCTCTAGGAAGTTCTCACCTTTCTTAAGTTCGAGTTGAGTTTCAAACGTTTTGATTGGTTATACTTCATATCCCAAGTGGTAGGATAAGTCTAATGCTCTACATCTCAAAAATCTCAGTTGGTCCCCTGACAAAAAATTCTGTTACTACAGGAACTTCAAGGGAGGGCATTGAGGGTGAATTCTGGACGTCCCCCTCGTAGGGAAGATTACCCCACAAGGGGACCTCGAGGTGGGGCGAGTTTTGATGCTCCTCACAGGGTCTATGTAGGCAACCTTTCATGGGGTGTGGATGACTTGGCCCTTGAGACTTTGTTCAGTGAGCAAGGAAAGGTGATGGAAGCCAAGGTGGTTTATGACAGGGAAAGTGGTAGGTCAAGGGGTTTTGGATTTGTAACCTATAGCTCTGCTGAGGATGTCAACAATGCAATTTCATCCTTGAATGGTGCTGTAAGTCTCTAGAACTTCTTGTACATGATTTTTGCGACTCCATTTCTTAACAGTCATCGTATTCTCTGTATCTGTAGCCACTAAATTAATTTCCTTTTAGTTGGATGGTTCACAAAAATTATAGTTCTTCTTGTTAACCATTTCTTTCAGATGTTAGAAAGACTGCATATCAACTTATGAAAATGTTCCTATCCAATTCCATTCTGATTCATTTGCTTGTATAACACATGTTGCAGGACTTGAATGGTAGACCAATTCGAGTAACAATGGCAGAAGCAAGGCCAAGACGTCAATTTTGATAGCCATTATCTTTTCAACTTCTGTAAGAGTGAAAGGAGTTATGGTTAGCTCTAAACTTCCCTCATTATTTAAAATTATATTTATATCTTCTGCAATAGTTGATGTTAGTACCCTTTAATCTCAACTCTTTATTTGGTGTTACTGCTTCAATGGGACTTGGGAGTTGGGATAACAACAAAGTATGACAAGCAGAGGAGAAAACCTCTTTCCTTCCTTTTAGGGAAGGTTGATCGGTGCATTAAGCAGTATGGAAAGTTTGACTAGGTGGGCCTTTTTTTCTTTTTTAATTTACCTTCCTTATCCAGGTCCTCTGTGTTACACCCTTGCAGAGCAATGGCATAGCAATCCAGATTCCAGACCAATCATCAGATGGGTGATTGCGTGGCTGTGCTATTTGGCTTGAACTTACCAGAGGAAAGGAATACCAATAGGAAATATAGAACCCTTTTAAGCTGCTAAGTAAGATGTCACAAAGATTTTTAATATTGTTTGGATCCCTCTGCCTAGCTGCTTAAAGTTTTCAATTATTTGGTTTTTAAGACTTCGAAGTAGATGTTCGTCTTTCCTTGCATTGCTTTTGTTGTTGCAATTATTTTCCTGAAAGATGAACTTTTTTTTTATCAAATAGGTCAGGTGCTAAATGGGTCGTTGAGATGTATTAACTACACGGCTCTTAGCCCCGCAAGCGCATCTGGGTGTCATTGCCATCAACTTAACGTCACTTGATTCAGGATCATCCAGCGACCATAACGCTCTTGGTTTCTTGTGCTGTATGTTTTCTATATTAGATTTCTGTGTAGAAGAAAACAGTTTGTCAGCAAAATTTGTAGCTTATTTGGATAAGTTTTCTGATTATTAAATGGTTTTGGAATTGGTTTTACGCCGTAAAATGAAAGAGGAAAGCGCAACATATTGCAACTTTATGGACATTATTTACATCAGCTGAATTATTTAAATTTTATGTTTTCCAAATTATTCACATATTTTTTCTATATTTTTGAAAACTACGCAATAAAAGTTCTGCAAATTTGCTAAACATTCCCTTAAGATGCAATAGTTTTTCTTTGTTGTCCATATGATTCAACAGTTGTAGACTTAGTTAAGAGTATCAAACTTTGAAGAATATGATGGATCATCTGTGAGATCGTACAATTTGCAATTGTCATGCAAAGTTCAGTTAACTAGAATGCCATTGAAGATGAACTCTGCGTGAATGGTTAAATGGGTCTCTAGAAACTAAAGTAGGATTTTTAGACTTAGTTAAGAGTATCAAACTGTGAAGAATATGATGGATCATCTGTGAGATCGTGCAATTTGCATTTGTCATGCAAAGGTTCAGTTAACTAGAATGCCATTGAAGATGAATTCTGCATGAATGGTTAAATGGGTCTCTAGAAACCCAAGTAGGATTTTCTGGTTCAGGTGGGGAGTTCCCTCGGACTTGGAGACAAATATAAAACTCATTACTCCCCAGTCCCTAGTAATATTCAATTGAATCAGGGTAGTATGCATCTCTCACGATTCCTTTAAACACCGATGCCGACAGAGACAGATGAAGGTGACGGAGATCGGAGCCGAGTGACTTGTAGCGACCGTGTTTACTTCCGCGGTTCCGCCCATGTCTCCCTTTTTTGGAGCGAAAGTTTTTTTTTTTCTTAATGGTAACTACAAAGTACAAACTGCCGGTACGAATCCCTCCCAAAGCCTAAAAACGCCACAAAAACGCCAAATTGACAAAACCTGGTTATCTCTAACCCTTAAGGGAAAGATAGCTCGGGTATGAACCCTACAACGTCTACACCCCTGTTGCTCTTACGTAGTTCGGGTAACCTATACATTAAATTAACCAGCTCGGTGCCCACTCACACTTAGAAGTGTTTTTGCATTAAGAGATACTCGGAAGAAACCATGTTTCATTAAAAAGAGAGTTCAGGTACAAGAATTTTTACCTGAGCTCAAAGGCTCAGGATAAGTACATTCACAGTTCAGAAAGAAAAAAGACTAAGTTACAAGAGCAAACTACTTCGGGGGCTCGCCGCCTCTATCAGGGACCCCCTCGGGGACAGTGTCTGGACCGGCATCCTCTGCTCCATCTTCAAGACCTTCATCCTCGGAATCGGGGTCGTCTTTTGACTGATGCACGATGTCGTCAGTAATCCACGAAGTAGTAATGGCACTCGTGTCCAGCTCGGGGTAGAGGTGCCTAATCAACCACCAACTGAGCTTGAAGCCCTTACGGTAGGCCTCCGCCATCACATCGTCGAATCTCGAAGAGTTGACGTAGTCAATGACGGCCTGGGTCTTGGCCTCTTCGAGAGCACCTTCAAAAATTGCAGTCTTCTCCCTTATGTCCTTCTGGAGGTACCCCACTTCATACTCCAGTCTCCCCTTCGCCTCCTTGAGGCCTTGTACCTCAAGCCTCAAGGCATCCTGCTTAGCCTTGAGGCTGCTCACCTCGAGCCCTAAGGCCTCCTGACCGACCTTGAGATCGTTCACTTCGGCCCTCAACTTGTCTTTATCTCGAGCCAGCTCTCCCTTCTCTGACATTAACACCTCGATGAAACTCTTTTGAGCCGAGGCGTTGCTCTCCAAGCGGTGAACCTGGCAACGAGCTGCCCTCAACTCAGTATGGGCTGCGCGAAACGATTTCTCAGCCTCCAGAGCCCGCCTCAGATGTCGATCTGATTGAAGGGTCAAGGCGCGAATGGCGGAGTTCACATGCGAAAAGGAGAACCGGTTAAGAGGGAGACCACCAAAAAAGGGGGGGGGGGAGAAGAAAAGAGAAGAGAAAAAAGAAGGGGGACTCACCACCATAGTATGGGTGACGGCTCGGGCGCCGAGCTGACCAGGAGTGAGTTCGGCCCATTCGCTGACCTCCCCCGAGTATGCAGCCAACTTACTCTTCTTCAGGCTACACTGGGGGTTCAGGACGGTTTGGCTCCCCTGACCCTCCGAGCTGGAAGCCGTCATCTTCACATCATTAGTAGAGCTCTCGGAGACCTCGTCGGCAGCTTCGGCAAGATGAGCCCCGACAGCAGCAACATTGGCCTCGGCAACGCTTTCTCTAGCAAGTCTGGTGGGCTCGACAGTAGGCTCGGCGGGCTTAAAGGTAGGTTCCACCATCACCTCGGGCCCCTTAGGCATAGCCCCCTCTTCCAAGTCGATCACGGGTGCGGCTGCCACCTCGGGCCTCGAGGTAGAAGTCTGCGGAAGTCGAGGCTTGGCTGAAGCTTGCGGGGACCCAACGCGTGCCTTCTTTGCCACGCGTTTCTTCCTCTTCATCTGGTGGAAGAGCTTCTGGTTGTCTATTTTTTCCGCCTCCATGGGACCTGCGGTGAAACACGACAT